CGCAAATTTTTTGTGCTCATTGATTCTTTCGAGCTGTTCATTGCAACTCGTCGAAGAGCAGCACGTCAATTTCAGAACATCATCAGCGAGTGGCATGCGTGAAGAGAAAATCTCACTTGGTATCACCACTCTCCTGTCGATGTCCATTCTGATGTTGATGGTGTCTGATCAAATGCCTACAATATCTTCATTTATTCCGCTTATCGGTTCCGTCGATTCTTCTTTAACTTTGAGAACTTTTAAGCATTCGGGCCATTTTAGCCGTATGATTTTATAAATGATGATACATTCAGTTGTGTGATTGTACATTCTGAAATCTATTCGATCTGCTCAACACTTGTTTGATCACTTGCTCCCTATTCATCCAGTGATCATTTGGAACTTTCAGGATGGTTCATATTGGGGATGATAGTGGTGATAGCGCTGGGGACGCTGTCATCCACGATGATAATCGCCATTCAGAAACGAGGTTATTTAGGGGAACGTTTGAGTTCGCGTGCGATTCGTATCGCAAAACTTTTCGCATTCATCTCGGTCAGCTATGTGCCACTCCATCTCATTAGTGGTACTAAGGTTTGTTTCGGAAGGTGCTTCTAAGTTCTGGATATATTCATCGCGAAACCGTTGCTTATGGTCATCTGACGATTGTTTGATTTCTTAAGCGATTCAGTTCGAAGTTATTTATGAAAACGAACGGTAAAACTTGACTTCCCTGTATGATCACCTAAAATGTCATTCCATCTATCTTCTGAGATTGCAAGAGTTTTTTCAATCTTCAGGTGGATTCTATTGGATAGTCAACGTTCCCAGAACAAATTCAGTTCCAGTTGATTGCTCAAATGTATTTCCACAAGACACTGAAAAACTTTGCAGGAATCAACAGAGGCACCGTCACGACATGTCTATCGGAAGTCCGTAAAGATCACTAACAAACTCGCTCGCTATGGTCAGCAACAGAGATGGGCAACGCTTACAAAACAAGCTGCAAACCTGTCAAAAAATGGCTTAAGAGATGTCACACTAATTAAGGACAAGAGCACTGATTTGCTCATGTTACCGTCAAACTGTGCGTTCATATCGAACACATTTCTCATTCGAGAAGTTTTCATTGCTCATTCATTCAGTTGAAAGCGAGTTTTCATCCAGTTAAGTGCATCAACAAAAAGAAAATATCTCTGCAACACATGCATTACGAGATGAAACGATGCTTGGAAAGCGCGCAAGCGATTAAATTCATTTCTTTCATTGAAATCATCAATCAAACTCAACTCATCAAACATGAATGCAACCTAACCTCATGCGTTCCACTAAAATTTCAGCAGTCATTCTATCAATATGTAGCATTTTTAGAACTGTCATATTCTCATCATTTTAACTTGCGACCAATGTCACTATCAATCATGAGAACTCCGTTGCGATACAATTATCATCGTCAATCGCCTTAGCGATCACATCCAAAAGTTTCGTTTCAGTAAATGAGACTATGGCACAGTCGATGATGATCGAATCAACTGATCGACGTAACAGTGCAATTGATGAATCACTACCAACCGTANGCTCATGTTACCGTCAAACTGTGCGTTCATATCGAACATAATTCTCATTCAAGAAGTTCTCATTGCTCATTCATTCAGTTGAAAGCGGCGAGTTTTCATCCAGTTAAGT